CTACTGTAGTGAGAAGATCTGAAGAGAAGAATCAGCACCAGGAATAGACATCAGGGAGTCAGAAAGGAGCCAACTACGATAAACCACATCTCACAAGTATTATCAGAAATATTGGGGAAGATCTTGTGTTTCCAGGTGACCAGTCAGTTTGAAAAATCAAGACGTAAACTATCAAAGATCCTCAAAAAAGGAAAACTGACCAATACTCAGGTTGGGTAGTAAAATAAAATTTTGGATATTTATTTAATTCATCTAGAATTTTAAGATGTGAAAATTTTTTTCTCAAAATGGTAATCCAGCTCTCTCAAAGCTACTTACTGAAAAATTGATCTTTTTCACATTTATTTATGCTGCAACTGTTATTACTTACTTATGTGGGTCAATTTCTGGAGTTTTACTCAATTCCTCTGATCTACCTATTCTAGTACCAATATTATCATGAGGTGAAAATTGTGTGTCTTTGGTTTTTAACTCCAACTTGTAATAGCCGGGGGAATGAGGCCTCTGTGGTCTAACCCCCTTCCTGGCAATGAGTCCACATACAGCCAATCTGGTTTCGGGTGGAATCTTCTCCTATCCCCATCAACGTTGCAGCCTAGGTTTCAGGGTTCCTTTGTGCAATTCCCATATTAAAATGACCACAGAGGGAGTAGTCCTCATATGCTCCAAAACCTACCATTGTCCCTCCCGATTATGAAGCATTCATAATGCTCAAGATCTTCTATTTGCACTTCCCAAAAGGCCATCTGCTTTGTCAAGGAAGAGAATTCTGGGCATCTGTCTTTAGTTTGAAAACAAAAACAAAAAACAAACAAAAACACAACTTTTAAAATGTGGCATCGTGGCAAAGTTCCCCCATTTCTGTCTGCTCCTCCCATCCTTTCCCTGGGTTCTAGCACTGATACAATTTTCTCCTATGTTCACTTTTCATCCAATTTGTTTTTAAGTTTTACTTAAAGTAATCCCTCCACCCAACGTGGGGCTCTAACTCACAACCCAGAGATCAAGTTGCATGCTCCACCAATTGAGCCAGCCAGGCATCCTTCATCCAATTTATTAGTTTTAAGTTTTAGGACATGAAAAGGAATCAGTCTACCATATTTCCTTGTGTGTTATTAAGCCTAGGTTAAAACGTATTTATAAATATCAAAAAATTTACAGTGTCAATGTTTCTACAAAAAGAAACTATTTTGAATTTCCAGTGAATATCCACTCTTTTACTAGTATCTCTTAGTACTGAAGACTTTAAAAATGAAAAACTAAATTGAAAAAGATCCACACTGGCCAAGCCAACTTCATAGCAAATGACTACGTAGCTACATTTCTGTGTGGGAAGGCAAGATTCATTCTGGTGTTGGTTCTAATACGGGATCACTGTTCACCCACCATTAGTTTTTTAGAAATGCATAAATTAGCAATGGCTTTTTTTCCCCCCTTCAAATTAGCAATAGCTATTCTTTACAAGTCCTTTTAACATGATCTTAAAAATAATCTCAAAAGCCTGTAACAAAGAGAAGCCTTGATGAAGTGTTGAGACTACATTGCTGAAAAGAATTCTCATGAAATCTCTGAACACTCCTGGTAACCCCATTTTTACTAGTTGTGTACTGTTATCCACATATACCAGTGCCACACTACCCTTTATCAAGGATTTAAGTGGCTTACTTTATTTCATGATTACAATTCTTAAAAATGTTGATGAAAAATGTTAGTGCCAAAGGATGTATTTAGGATACATAAATAGAAAAAGTAGGGCACACTATCTATACATACCTATGTATTAGCAAGGCTTTGTTAAAGTAAGAGACCAGCTGAAGCTGGCTTACGTAAATAGCAGTAATATAAAAGGACTTAAGAGCGAGCATGCTCCAAATCAGCGGTTTTGTTCTGTGTAGTTTTGTACAATAAGAACAGCATTCATTGAAGGAGTTAAAGACAGGAAAAAGTGGACAAGACAGATGGGGACACTTGCACAAATCGGAATGAATAAACCATTAACTGGCTTTCTCTGAAATCCTAGGCTTAAACATTTTGGAGGGGACTTAGCACTCTTCATTTGGCATGCTGAGACTAGCAAAGGAGTTATTCTTAGGCCTCTGATTGTAAGGCTTTGCAATATCTTTGGCACAGTGAGGCAGCTGGTTATTGGAAGGCTACTATCTTCCAAATCTGTAGTAGCTCAAAAATTATTTTCCTCCCTTACAAATGTTGACACATCGCTGGTTTCCAGGAAGATTGCAAAATTTAACTTCAATCTAAAAAAAAAAAGTTACTTTGTCTTATCAAACATTATGTGCAAGGCGTGGTTTGGCTTCTGGAATATAAACCACACATTCCTTTTGAGGCTCTCAGTCCCGTGAGGAAGACGATCAAAGCCCATAGAAAACAACTGGTGTGTCACCACAGCATATTCAGCGATGCCACTGGATCCCAGGTGTGCACCGGGGTGGGGGGGCAGGTACTGCAAAGGAGTAGTTCAAAAAGGGCAAAAGCTAACTCTTGAACAACGGGTAGGAAATTGAGAGATGGGCAGAGGCGGAAGAAAATTCCAGCCAGATTAAAACAGCTGAGTGCATTAGGTAAGGAGACAGAATGTGGACTTTCTGGGGACCAGCAAAACTAGGGGTTTCTGGTTGGGCCTTCCATGTTGCCCAACTTTCTAGCTGGGCCTTCCATGTTGCCCAACTCTGCCCCATGGCAGGGGTAGCTGGACTAATTAGGCACTGAGGTTTGAGCACCCAAGGTTGGCTTGCAGCTTCATAGGCAGTGGAATTTCCTCCTCAAAGGGGTATCAGACATCAAAAGCCACTAGAATTTTTAAGGATCAAATAGGCACAAGCACCTTACATTTGCCTGGCAGTCATTCCTTAACATTTCTCTCAAGCCTTTAATTTCGCTAAACACCCCATTCAGCACCCTTGTTTAGGTTTGGGAGTTCCACTGCTTTAGAACAGGAAGATGGGGAAGAGGGGACAGGTTTGGGGAATGTCATGTGGAAATGGCAGGGCTTAGGCAACCACAGACAGTAGAAAGAGTAAGAGAAGAGTTAAAACCTCGGGCCTAAGTTGAGGATGGAGCTGGAAGACCAGGCTATCTATGAAATACTGGTTTCAACTTATGAGCAGAATCATCACAGATGAGGAATTCTGGAAAACTGTCATACGAGTGCACCGCAGTTAAAAAAAAGTCAGCTGAGATTAAAATCAAAGACCAGGGGCGCCTGGGTGGCGCAGTCGGTTAAGCGTCCGACTTCAGCCAGGTCACGATCTCGCGGTCCGTGAGTTCGAGCCCCGCGTCGGGCTCTGGGCTGACAGCTCAGAGCCTGGAGCCTGTTTCGGATTCTGTGTCTCCCTCTCTCTCTGCCCCTCCCCCGTTCATGCTCTGTGTCTTTCTGTCCCAAAAATGAATAAATGTTGAAAAAAAAAAATTAAAAAAAAAAAAAAAAGACCAGAGGCTTGGTAAAGAAACTGACCTCACATGATGAAATTTATGCTGAAGAATTCTGGGTTCTAAAATCCTCAATGAATGGGGGAGATATGATCTAGATCTGGGGTCCTGATTTACAGTAAGAGTTAAGAGGGTAGCCTAGTTGGAGTATCTGAAAGTAGAAACAGCAGTATGTGTTGTGGGGGTGGGGTTGGGAGCGGGCAGAACAGACATCCTCATCCCCAGTGATGGAGCCCTTTAAAGGAAAGTTGGGTTTAACTTATTTTAACAAACTTACTTTTGAGAAACATTCAGTAAACTTAACTCAGTTCTGAATAACGCTGTTTAACATGTGTCACCCACATTAATTTTTCTTTGAATATTAAATGCTGCATTAAAAAACACATTCAATGAAGCATGTATGTCTGCATTACTATCCACATGGCAGAGAGACACAGAGGTTAACAGAAGCAAGTTGCTGCTAATGTAAATCCTTTCCTGTTCCATGATCACAGTCCAGTGGTACTCCAGGTCCACCCTCAGACCGGAGCTGATCTTTTTTCTCCTCCTCCTAGCAGCTGTCGTCTTGATCCCTGTTTGTGCTGCCTTGTTTCTATTCTTACCCCAACACCCCCAAAACCTTTCGATAGCTTTTCATTGCCTACAATACTTCCTGATCGGCAGACACAAAGGAAGAGCCCATCAGAGTCTAACCTAGTGCTCCCGGACCTACTGCAGCTTGCTTTTGTCAACCAGGCAAACCAAGTAGGCCTTAGAGGCTCACCGGTGTGTGCTCTCTAGCGGACAACTCATCAATGAGTTTCATACTCCTTTATCAGGGTTTCCAGAAAAATACATGACCATGTAAACAAATCACAATTCCTCATGGCTAAAATGCAAGTTCAAACTTGTAATTACTTTATATGTTTAAGGCCCTTTTAGATTTTTTTCCCACCCAGAACTCCAGTTAATCCTGATTTCTTATTTCTGGCCATCCACTACCAGCCCACTGATGAAGTCTATCCACCATGTTTGCTTCCTAATTTTGTACACTCAGTTCAGCTTATGCTACAGGCTCAAGGATATTTTCAATGAGGAAATGGGAGAGGAGCAGAGACAGGACACACTTTCTTCAAGTAATGCAATTATTCGACATTTGAAAAGTTTACTGAAAACTTTTATTGTAATCAAAAAGTGACATAACGGGGTTGTAATGAATTCAGCAAATCATTCTGCTGATATTTTAGAACTGATATCAGCTTTTGCCAGGCAATTAAAAAAATTCAAATGTGAAAATTTCACAGTACAGTAAACTCCACCCCAACTAATTAATGGTGGTTAAAAATAATAGGCCCTAGCAAAACCTCTCATGTTACATGGTCACAACTCACAATTCTGTACAAAAGTTCGTGTTATAAAGCTCTGATGTAAAAATCAAATAATCAAGCAGCAATATTTTAAGTGCAGCACAGGGTCTTCCATATCATTATTTACAAGGCTTGAATCTCTTTACATTATAACAAAATTTAATACAGATGACTTAGTAATTAAGTCAATTTTTAAAATCTGTCCCTTTATACAGGGACAGATTTCGCTTTTTGGTCATCTTTCTCCTTCTCCTTTTCTTTATCTTTGCTCTTCTTTGACTTCTTTTTCTTGTGTTTGTGTTTTTGGCTTTTTTCTAACTCTCCTTCAGTGCCTGCATGCTTCTTATGCTTCTTGTGTTTTTTGTGTTTCTTGTGCTTCTTCTTTTCCTTCTTCTTCTTCTTCTTCTTGCTGTCCTGACTCTCTGCGGAGCTGGCACTACTGCTGTGGCTCCGGGTCCGGCTGCCAGAAGGGCTATGACTTCTGCTTGGACTAACACTAGGGCTGCTTGGACTCTGGCTCCTGGCGGTGCCTACCTGGCTGGCTGCTGCCGTGTCCAGGCTGTCTTTTGCTTTCTCCACGACTTTATCTTTCAGTTCCTTAGCAATCTTTCCCGAAGTTTCCTCCTCTTTTACAGATATGTTGCTTTCACTGTCACTTTCATTATAGTCTGGTTCAAAAGCAGCTTCATCAGTTTCCCTAGTTAAGTCGGAGGAAAGTCGGGAGGAGTGGCTTAACTGTGGCTTAGGCTTGACCGCGCTCTTGTCAGTCTGCCCAGTAACTTGCTCCTTTTCAATCTGCGGGTCTGGTGGGTTAAGCACATACAGTAATTTGTTGCCACCCGATTCTTTATTGTTCCTTGCTTCTAACGTGTGCTTCTCACGATCTTTACAAGGATTTTTATCTACAGATTTTGTCTCTTCAGTCGAGCGTTTCGTATCATAAGTGGCTTTGTGATCATGAGGTTTTTTGTCTCTGGAGGGACTAGAATTGCTCTTTTTGGAATCTCCTGTTCCCTTTTTAGGCAAATCTCTCTCCTCCCTTGGCTTAGTTTTCTGTCCAGATGCAGAATCTTTACTTCGAGAAGGGGAGTCTTTCCTTCTTGTTAATTCATTCCTTTCGTCTCTACGTTTGGAACTTGAGTACTCTCTGTTGTCATAGTCTGTTTTTTTGTCTCTGTTGGGAGTGAAGTCTTTAGTCGAGGAACCTCGAACGGAATCATGCTTTTCTGAAGTTCTTGTCTCTTTGGAAGATTGAGACAGACTTTTAAAATTTCCTGGTTCACTCAGACGGTCCAAGTTACTCTCTTTCTCTGGCTGAGTGCTGTTTTTCCTCTTTTCGGGGTTTTCCTTCTCCAACACCGAATGATCTCGATCTTTGGCTTTCCCCTTTTCACTGGATGCAGAGTTTTTTGAACTCTTGATCTCATGCTGTATAATTTCATGGCTAACTTCCTTGGTGAGTTTCTGAATTTTCTCTGACGACTCACTTTCTTTTTCAGTATACTTGACTGTATTTAACGGTTTAGTGCTAACATTTTTTATAACACTGGCGGGTTTTCCTACACTTGACATAGGCTGTGTGGCCTTAACATCTTCTTCCTCAGATTCAAAGTCATCTTTATCCCATTTGGACTGAGGAACCTGAATCATAATAATAACGTCTTCAGCAGGAGCTGTATTGTCATTATTATACTCTTCCATAGTTTTAATGACAGTCCGTTTTGTATCTGTTTTTTCTTCAGATTTCCGCACAGGACTGCCTCCAGTTGAGCTCGTGCTAAAAAGAATTAAAATGTTGTTAATAAAAAATTTGCTATTACTAAACACTGATAAATAAGAGTTTTAAAAATATTTATTTTGAGAGAGCTTGTGTGCACGGCATGTGCAGGGAAGGGGCAGAGCAAGAGAATCCCAAGCAGGCTCTGAGCTATCATTGCAGAGCCCGACATAGGGCTTGACCTCATGAACCAAGAGATCATGACCTGAGCAGACCTCGAGTCAGACACTTAGCTGACTGAGCCACTCAGGTTCCCCTAAACACTGATAAATAGGTAAAGGCTAATCACTTAAACATAAGTGTCCTTTTAATTCTCAAAACCCAATTACCCTACTCTAATAGAGATGAAATGATTTAAAGACAGGATTACATAAAAATAAATGCTGGCTCACAAAATCTACATACTTCAACTCCTTTCTTTAAAGACAGGAGTAAACCAGACTAAACCCTTCTTTTTTTTTTTTTAGAGAGAGCGAGCGCGGGAGGGAGGGGCAGAAGGGGAGAGAGAGAGAGAATCTTAAGCAGGCTCCAGGCCTTCTCTTTCCCAACATGGGACTCAATCCCACCACCCTGGGATCACGACCTGAGCTGAAACCAAGAGCTGGACGCTCAAATGACTGAGCCACCTAGGTGTCCCAAACCTAACCCCTTCTTAATTTATAGGTTACATTTTAAAAGCATAAACATGGATAAAATTAAAGGAAACTCTTTCCGAAACGAACATCCATACCCAACCACCCATAATCAGATACCTTGTATAATCCACAAGAGTTGAGCTGGATCCCTCAGCTCCAGCTACTTTTCGTCTGACCTTTCCTTTGACTTTTTCTTGTTTAACTTTGCTAGATGCTGACTCCAATTTTTCAGAGGGTTCTTTCGTATTAGATACATTTTCTGTACTCCCAATTTTTTTACCAGTTTCTCTGTTGAGCTTAATTTTTTTGGCTGGGGCAGTTGATGATGAAATTTTGTCTTTCTCAGGGGTCCTATCCATTTTTTCAATATCAGGTTCCATTTTGCGCTTTGGTGATGGTTTCACTATTTCAGTCATTTCCAGTTTAGAGACTTTCGTTGAAGAGGACTCAAAATCTTTCTCTACACTTTTCTCTTCAGTTTTTCTTTTTCTTTTTTCTCCCTTGCTATCAGGTGGCTTACTTTTCTCACTAGGCTTCTTGGCCTTTTCTTCCTTATTAGTTAGCTTTTCTGATTTGACGTCTTTGGGGTAATCCTTCTTCACTTTTTCCTCTTTGACTGGTTTTGTCTCTTGGTGTTCTTTTGCTGATTTAGAGTGAGCTTTTCTGGGGGTACCAATGGTCTTTTCATCTTTTTGGGAGGAAGATGATGATTTAGCATTATCAGTCTTTGGAGTCTCCTCTTTGGCTTTTTTAAGTGGAGGTTCAGATCGAGGAGATTTTTCACGCTCTCCGTCTAGTTTTTCTTGGGGTCCCTTAGCAGGTTTTGCAACATTTTCTTTTTTGGACACAGTAGACCCATCATTTTTCCGTTTGGTCTTGTCACCTTTTGCTTTTGGTTTATCTTTCTCTCTCTTGTCTTTTTCAGACACCGACTTGAAAGTGATGGATTCTGCATCCATTGGTTCATCTCTAACAGGTGTAGCATCATCTCTACTTGGGAGAACAAACAATGAGTCTGTTTTATTTTCTTCACTGCTTGTAGGTTCTCTTGATTTCCTAGAAGTTTCTAATAACTCGGGGTTTAGAAAGCCTTCACTCTCTTCCCCCTTTCTTCTTTTCCTATGTTTCTTATGTTTGTTTCCTTTACCATCTCCGGGATTATTTTCGCTCTCCTTCTCTTTTGACTTTGTGTTGTCCTTCTGATTGTGACTATCTCTTGTTGAAAGCTTTTCTGGATAGTTGCCACCTAAGTTTCGACTTCTATGACTTTGTCCACCAGCATAATCTTCTCTGCGGCCTCTCGTGAAGGGAGAATTTCTGATATTAAGAGGCAAAAATCTCTCAGGAGAAAAGTTCTCTCTATTTGCTGATGGTCTAGGCTGTGCTCCGGCAGCATAACCTTTATAATATTTTTCATACCACTCTCTATATTTTCTTTCCCATTCTCGGTAACGCTCTTTTTCAAATGGGTCTCTAAAGTCAACACTCCTCCCGTAATAAGCTTTCATGTCGTAAGGTGGCGGAACTTCTCTGTATCTATTAAAATATTCACGTTCTGTTTCCCCTTGAGGCACATTACGTTTATTGGGAGACTGTCCCCTAAATGCTTGAGGAGATCTTGACCGTGAATGGTATCGTCTATAGGGGGGTGACCTTGACCTAGATCGATGATATCCATGAGATCTAGACCGTGAACGGTAATTTCGGCTCTTGCCTCTGCCTCTTCGGGGGTATGGAGGTGATCGGGAATAGGAACGAGAGTGTGAGCGGCTAAATGATCGAGAGTAAGAACGTGAACGTGTTGAACCAGATCTTGACTTAGAATAAGTATACGAACTTCTTGAATATGATGAACCACTATAAGGAGATTTAGACCTAAAAACAAAAAACAAAACAATAGTTGATAGTTGAGAAATATTTGCAAAATAAAATTCAGATTCTATAGCATGCTCTCCTCACGGTTCCATCTTTCTTTATATCAAATTTCATCTTAGATGATTAGAGAGGCACAGTGACCTCTACTGGAATGGAATAAAGTACACAAAGATCAGAGCAATCACTTGTTACAAAACAAAAGTGAAATCTTGACATTAGAGTGAAGCGCATTCATGTACCGTGAGTTATATGAGCTAATTAACATTAAACAAAATTCCAATTAAATTTAAATTTTATTTCCTATCTGGTCATTTAAATAGGAGTAATTTCTTTGTCCTACGTTGTTGGCCAACAGTCTAGCACTTTGAAAGGAACCACAAATGTAAGCTTAAAAAGTAAGTCTTTTAAACAAACTTCCAGGGAATTTTTATAATTCACTTTTTCTGTCGATAAAACAATTTGTATTCTACCACTGCTTCATAATTACACAGGTTAATGTTCCAGCAAGAAGCTGTAGCCTTAGGTAAAAGCGTCCTCAGAAATGTTCTTTGGCTAGTCCTCTATTTCTTTCCTTCCACAAACATTTTCCCAATTATTTCACACTATAAGTAACTTCAGGGGACAAGGGCAATTTAATCCCCAAAACTGCTAGTTCTACACAATAGAATTTACATTGAGACAATATTTCAATAAACAAATATTGGGAAAGAAGCTACATCTCCATTTCTATAAGCCTGGATCGAATCAGAAAAATTCCGTAAGTGCAATGTTATTTATATCCATAGCTAATCCCTGGATATTCAAAGTCCCATTTGTAATTCTGTTGTGAAGGCTTGCAAAACACTAACCTGGAAAATGAGCGCCTACGCTCCTTTTGAATCTTTTTGTATTCCATCAATTCCTTAGCAAAATCATTTGTAAACTCATCTAGCTTGGACTTTTTCTTTTCCCTAGTAAAATAAAGTTAAAGAGTGAAAGTTAACAAAAACCATTTAAGAAAACTAACAAGACAAATGTAATTAGATCATGAATGAAATGAATGAAATTGCCATTAGTTTTCCACTTTAAAACTATAAATAACTAGGAGTCCCTGAGGAAGTTGCTTGTATGGCTTTGGTTTAATTTTTAGGTGATTTTTTTTGTACTAACTGGAAACAGTAGAAAATGTTTCCAAAGATAACCTGTTTAATGTTACATCAGAAAATGAAAGTGTATGATAATTTCACACTGAAACACTCACTCTTCCTTCAGCCGTCGTTGCTCTCTATAGAATTCTTCCCTGGACAACGGTGGGGCTTGCGTTGTTGGGATGGTATTTGAATGAGCTGTCTGCACTCCTGATGATACCCAAGGTGTCGATAAATTGGCCGGAGCTGGCGGAAACCCTGGAGGAGGGACACTATATCCAGCAGGTGGTGGCTGGCCAGGAGGAAACTGAGGAGAAAATTGTGGTGGAGGAACACCTGGAGGGAGAGGAAGTGTATGGGGAGGAGGTGGATACAAAGGAGGGGGTGGGACAGGCACAAAAACTGGAGTTGCTGGTAGTGATGGGCCTTGAGTTCTCTGTGATCTTTCGCTGTGGTGTCGTCCGCGGTTTATACTTCTGGAGAAATAAATTCCAAGATATTATTCCTTCAAACTAACATCACCCGAGACAAGTAAGCTTGTCTTTTCTATCCATAATTATCTTCAAACTTACAAACAATGGAATAGAATCAACTATTCAAATAACACTGATATTTATATGTAAATAAAATTTTTAAGGCCACCTGGGGATTGAGATGATCCAAGTTTACAGCGCCTTCTCCATGAGGTGCTGCTATATTTAGAAGTTCTCTTTTGTGAAGTTCAGATTCATTACCCCTCCACAATGATATTTGGTGACTTCCCAATCTGTCATTTAAAGGAACTGACAAGGCTAATGCCTCTCTGACCTAGGCCTCCCCAAAAAGCCTTCCAAGATCACAACTTTAAATGAAGAAAAACCACCTCCTGTAATCTTTTGAGGTAGGAAGTGTAGAAAGATCCTTCAATGTAGAATAAGTATTAGGTATTTTTTATTTTTATAGTTTTACATAATTTTATTTCTCACCTGACATTATATCATGAGCATGTCTCTAGGTCGTTAAAATGTCTTTGGAAACCTAGTTGTTAAATGGCTTCATGGTTTTGTGGGGTGTTTTGTACTTAAAGTACTTTTTATTTATTACATTTTTAAACACTGAGGTATAGTCACGGTTACATTATTAGTTCCAGGTGTGCAACACAGCAATTCAGTTAGGTCTGCATGTTACATCATGTTCACAGTGTGACTGCCATCTGTCCCCACACCATACCATCACAGTACCACAGATTACATTCCCTATGCTCTTTCATCCTCAAGAAAGTAAGTTCCACTTTTAACATCTGTAATCAACAGCTAAAAATCTCAATTATTTTCTCTCAAAGGATTAGGTGAAAATTACAGTGCTGGCCAAAGTTTCTGAACTGTCGCTCTTAAAAGAAACAGTGGCTTTTTTAAAACATGGGTTCATTTCTGTTAAGCTAACGGTTCTTTAAATTCTAAGTAACTGGTACAAAGAACAGCAGCAGCCAGGGTTTAAATTTTAAGCCTCTTCAGAATCTGAATTGGTAACTATTATCTTCTATTAACATGTGATCTAGTAACAGAGTTACTTAGCAATTCTCAGTAGAGCACTAGAAGACACCCTTAATATTCTTATTATAAAGTTCATTTGGAGGCCCTTTACGCTGGTGGCGAGAACGACCTCGATAAGACCTACGGCTTACTTTGCAGAATAACATGGTTTTTGCCTGTCCAGGGCAGGAGCCCCGAACAATCTCTTTGTCTCTTCTTTTGGAAAAGAGAAGGTGGGAGAAGACTGGGACAATTGAGTCCAGAAGAGAAATAAATGCAATTCTTTCTCACGCTTGAGAGGTAAGCTAGTTAACTTTTGCCTTAAATTAAACTGACACACCTTAAATACTGTCTGGGCCTTAGTGACTTCCTTCTACCCTCAAAAGAGTAAATGTAACCTAATATTCTGCTGTGTGCTGGAGGAAAGTAGTCATTGGGAAGGAGTATTAAAGATGCAGCCTAAAAGCATCATTTAAAACACTAAATGTAACCTGTTCTTCTCTAGGCCTCAAGATCAACTACTGAGGACTGAAGTGAGATAAGCATAAAGCAAGTAATCTCCCTCTCTTGCCACTGCCATGCTTTCGTTTCTTTGTGTTCTATTTTTCAGCAGTGTCATCGGATTAATTTTTCAAAATTTTTAAAAAGCATACCTGTAGCAGCTCCTCTCCCCCCTTCTAATTTGCTGTGGCGGAGAAACCAGATATCCAAGCTTATTGGAACTGTGTAGAAAGAAAGATAAAATGGGATGGAGTACAATATACAATCTCCTAGCGTGTAGACTTTAAAAGATACCTATTTTAACTACTCTAGAAGATTTTTCCTCTCCCTGATCCCCATTCGGAAACTTGTTCCAGATAGAGGAGATATGAGCAAGCATTACACTTACTTGAGTTAATTTTCCTCATTAATTTACTGTGACAATAACTAAACCTCAATGTACAATATTTTCCGCAATATGGTATTTCATTTAGCATCCTACAAGTGACTGTGAACTTGTTACAGAAGAGAAGAAGAGCCTTTCATCTGCTAGGCACCATGCCGGTGGGGAACTAGCACTGTTCCAATTCTGCAGATGAGGCAATGGGGCTGAGGAGTAAAATTGCATGCTCAATGTCATGGCACTGCCAAGTGCAGGGGCTGGAATTCCAACTCAGGCCTACCTGTCTCCAAATCCCTTGCTCCTTCTACTGAAAGAATCCACTAAGTCTCTCATTTAGTCTATATGTTTAAATAAAATATTTGATTTATCTTTAAAAGAAAAATCAGGGGCGCCTGGGTGGCGCAGTCGGTTAAGCGTCCGACTTCAGCCAGGTCACGATCTCGCGGTCCGTGGGTTCGAGCCCCGCGTCAGGCTATGGGCTGATGGCTCAGAGCCTGGAGCCTGTTTCCGATTCTGTATCTCCCTTTCTCTCTGCCCCTCCCCCGTTCATGCTCTGTCTCTCTCTGTCCCAAAAATAAAATAAACGTTGAAAAAAAAAAATTAAAAAAAAAAAATAAAAGAAAAATCATAGTTTTAGAATAGAAGCCAGTTTATGCAAATATGTAAGCCTGTTGATATAGACTAAGACACAAATGATTGCATACGTAGACAGTAAGTAAACATACTAATTTTTAATACCACAGAACATCTTATAAAGATCATAATTCCTTGTATTTCACAGGGCAAAAAATAATATCCTATATATTCTGATATGCAATAAAATCTCATTAACACAGATTATTCAAAATGAGAAATTCTATGTTTGGTAGCCTTTAATCTTACTATGTGTTAAATCAAAATTTGAAAATCCATTTAAGGATAGGAAAAACAAGGGGCACCTGGGTGGCTCAGTCAGTTAAGCATCCGACTTTGGCTGAGCTCAGGATCTCACGGTTTGTGAGTTTGAGCCCCACATGGGGCTCTGTGCTGACAGCTCGGAGCCTGGAGCCTGCTTTGGAGCCTGTGTCTCCCTCTCTGTCCCTCCCCCATGCTCTCGTGCTCCCCACCCCCCCATCTATTAGCACAATGAATGATTCAGTATTTCAAATACTCTTTCAAAGAAAATAGTATTTCAATTAATCTTATCTATTCATTAACTGAGATCCTGTCAAGATCACTTTGTTAAGACATGAAAGTAAAAAGCGGAGCCTGGGTGGCTTAGTTGGTTAAGCATCCAACTTCAGCTCAGTCTTAACATGTCATAAAAAAAGGGGGGGTTACAATAAGAAACATTCAGCAACACACTAGATTATAATTCCCATTATCTAGTTTGAAAGCAATCATCTGGAGATTATTTTAAACATATACTTACTGTTCCCAACCTGGTCGACCACCACCCGGACGAGCAGTATTTATTCTTACTGGACCTTGGAAACAAGAACAGTAGGTAAATATGAAATTGCATGTTAAATAAAGTTAAAATTATTTTTTAAAGGAGAAAATGTTCAACCCAAAATGATTTTACTCACCAGTTGTGGGGATCAACTGTCCATGCAGTAGTGACTGTCCAAGCAAAGATGGGGTTCCAAGTACAGGCACCTGGTAACCCTTTAGGAAAAAAACATACATAAAAAGAAACAGTTTAAAAAAAAAAAAAAAAAGAGGGAGAGTTAAAAAAAAAATTAAACCCATCAGAAAACTGTAAGATAAATCTCACATTTAAAAGCCAATAAAACTTACCTTCTCTTCCATAAGAGCAGTAATTGCAATTGAAGAGGTTCCCTTTGAATGTTCTGATGCAAGGGCTGCAGCTGGTAAAATTTTATTATCAGAATCCCTAGAAGACAAGAGAATTTGCAATATGTGAAAAAGTCATCAGAAATGGAGGAGTAAGAGTAAGCAAATTACAGTACATAATTTAGTAAGTCTGTTCACCCACCACCTGCATGAAGATGCGTTGATGAAAACTTTTGGGTCAAGTGGAGAGCTCTTTGGATACAAAAGTGATAAGGAAAAAAAATAAAAGGAAATCTCTTTAAGAAGTCCCATCTATACAGATGGGAGAGAAATCAGTTGTAAGAATAATAAAGCTTAGGGGCGCCTGGGTGGCGCAGTCGGTTAAGCGTCCGACTTCAGCCAGGTCACGATCTCGCGGTCCGTGAGTTCGAGCCCCGCGTCAGGCTCTGGGCTGATGGCTCAGAGCCTGGAGCC